CGGGCCGTGTCCCTCCCCACGCCCAGCTCCTGCCCGTCCTATCGCCGGCGTGTTCCTGCTGTCCCCAACCTCAGTATAGCTTTACCACCAAACAGTGAAAAACCGCACATTTGAATAAATTAGCTCAAGGTTTCCCTGAGTACTTCTCCTGTTGGAAAGAGCTCAAGTTGGACCAACGTCGAAGTCTGAAGGCCGGACCACGGGACAACACGTGACCGCCATTCTTGACATGGAAGCTGCCCGGGATCTGACCATACTTGCCGTGACCTCTCTAAGCACAGCGAAGCCTTTTTAAAAACCTTCTGAACACACACGCATACCCAGTTTTTAAAAGCACGAAGCTGCTGGAGGACCGTGTCCGGCACAACAGCCTGCCTCCCGAGGGGGCCGCCTGCCCGGGAGCTGACGCGCAGCTGGGTGGGCTCCGCCGGGCACGGCAGCCGTGCGCCCCCTTCTCGCTGCCCCCAACTCCCACCGCCAGGGGCCACTGCCATTGTTAGGAATTGATGGCACACATGCACACACGTGTCCCCCGTAAGCGGTGAATCTGTCCCCTGGGGTCTCACAGCACCTCGGGAACAATCACTGAGCAGGTCACTGCATGTTTTCAGGCTAAATTTGGAAAACAGGGAGATTTGCGGCAACCCACGCTCCTTTCCAGGGCCACACAGGCTGTGTGAGCCAGACAGGCGTGTGCACCCAGGAGAAGGTGCACGGGGAGAGCAGGAAGCGGGCCGGGGCATGCGGCTGCATTCTACCTACGGGGCTCACTCGCAGCCGTGTGCTGGCCCCAGGGAGACCTGCAGGAGCCCCCTTGCCTGGGGTTCCCTGACGAGGCCCGGCACTCCCTTCCCTCCCGGGCCCCGCCGTCTTCCCGCACCCCACTCCCCTGCCATGTCCACGGCAGTAGCAGTGGCGCCAGCACTCGCCGAGCCGCCCTGTGACGTGGCCAGCCTCTTGCCCCACCTTGCAGACTGGTGGGCACAGCTGGGAGGCCGTGAGCCCGCCCAGGGCGCCGGGCAGCGAGGGCCAGGCTGGCTGCGACGTGTGCCCTGCCTTGCCACGCAAGTGGGGCGGGTCCCCCACGACAGAGGGACACTCATATTCTGCACATCGAGGTCACTGACAGCTATTTCCCACGGGCAGTGGTGGCCTTGGCGACTGTCGCAGGAAGCACTAGGGCAGAAGGGCAGAGCTGGAGGAGGCCTGACCGTGACAGCAAGGCCGGGGGCCCGGCACCTGTGGCTGACCGCTCAGCTTGGTGCCGGGGCCGTAGGAGATCATCCCCCGGGCCGGCCTGGTCTCTCCCAATTCACGGCCAGCTGTGGGGCTGGGCTCTGAGGGCCGGGCTCGGGGCCCTGGCACAAGGCTGAGGTTGCCCACTGCTCACTGAGCATCAGCTTTGGGATTTTGCTTCCTTAAAACCAGGGGTCCTCAAGCTACGGCCCATGGGCCACACGTGGCCTGCCGAAGGCAATTATCCGGCCCGCCGGGTGTTTTTGCCGCTGCTGCCTGTCCTGCTTAGCAGCCAACTGGTCCCGGGCCCACAGCGCGTATGTGTGCAATGTGCACCGCACTCTCCAACGGTCTGAGGGACAGTGAACTGGCCCCGTTTAAAAAGTTTGAGGACCCCTGCTTAAAACAAATGGCAAGTGTAAGCCACGACAGTGCCACGGCCCACCCCACCAGCGGGCCCCATGACGACCTCATTCATTCACAGGACCACGGCCCGAGGGGCCACTCAGGATCCGGACGATCCTGGGCGCACGATTCTCAGTGCTGGGGACCAAGACGCTGCCAACAATTGGGAAAAGGCTGTGCTGGGCAGATGACTGTGATTTGGTTTTGTTTTGGCCTCTTTCCATCAGTCAGAAGTTGCGTAAGAGGAAAGCCTAAGAGTCATTATAAAAAGATGCATGGCAGCTAGTAAAAACCCAAGATGAAGATATTACTGGAGAAAAACAGAAGCCCTGAATATCATCAAAATGACAAAACTGTTTGCTTTTGAAAGTGGAAAAGCGTCCATCTTCAGTACAGATGTGGAACCAAAAGCTTTGCTTAAATGAAGTTTCTGGTTAAGCCATTTGATACCCCACAAACCACAGGAAGGACCCGGCACTCGGGCGTACGTGTCCACGATCCAAACGGCTTCCTGCTGCAGCTCGACCGCGGGGCTGCGTTTAAACACACGCTTAGCACCTGTAAAGAGTCTTCATAACCCTCAAGTTAGGGTGGGGCTCGAGGCTGCCCAGGAGCAGCGGGAAAGGACCAGGCACCACCTCACCTGGGACCCAGGCCCAGTCTGGGGGCAGTGGGGGAGGGGGTCCTGCAGTGGAGACACCCAGCTGTCAGTCATCAAGGAAAGGGGCGGGGCCTGGAACAGGATGTGGGAGCTGGGCGTGGGGCCGAGGAGCCTGACCCTGGAGCGGCAATTTGGGGGCTCTGTCTAGGTCTGAGCTCCTGGGAGGTGGAGCCCGTGGAGGAGGCCAGCCAGCAGCTGGGAGGCGGCCCTCAAAGGCCCAGGGCCGAACTTCTGGCGACAAACACTGGTGCTCTTTCCCGGGTGGTCTTTCCCGGAGGGGAGCTGGAGTGGCTCCTGCTCGTGGCAGGCCCAACTGGGGACACTGAGGGAGAAGTGGGGGATGCTAAGCCAGGCAGGAATGGGTCACAGTGGAGACAGGATCTAGAACATCCTGACAGCTTAGAGGACGAGAGCAGAAGCTGACCTTGATCTGGCCCAACTCCAAGCCCTGCGCGAGGAGCATGAACTCGTTTCTCTCTCGAGGGAGCCCAGGGAGGCTGCCCCACGGTGCCAGACGGAGGTGCAGGGGAGCTCTAGAGCTCCCTGAAGCACGGGAGACAAGTGACGGAGCCGGCCCGGCCCTGGGCCAGGCAAATCTTAGCTCCCCGAACATGCAAAAGCCCAGGACAGGGCTTGCTGCGTGTTTTTCATGAGGGAAATGAGAAACCTGAGCTGTGATGGGTGTGAACGGTCATCCGCAGAGCCCGCTGACGCCTGGTGCATTGAAGAAATCAGCAAGAGAGTGGCCGAGCACGTCACGTGATCACACATCACACAACTGCCCTTTGAAGATCGAGAGATGAGCAAACTACATGCAAGGTAAGTATAAATTAGTGTGAAGTCAGAAGCATGTAATTATTTAAGTCTACGTCAATTATTAAAGATTATCGCTTTAATTCATTCAAGGAACTTCATAACTAAAATTTCATTTAACGAAGTCTGTCATATTACCAATTCTTGCAGAAATGCACAGATGTGAATTACTTAGCATTAGTGACACCAGGTGTTTGACAGCAGATATATCAACGGTGACACAGGGCCCTTGACTACACAAGGTTCTCTTACATGGTTTAAACATTTTCTCCGAAACCTTCACATTATTATAAATGTGCTAGTGATGCCTTTTTAACAAGATTGACAATGCAATCCGGCATTAAGTTCTTCTGCAGCACTGTGTATTCTAAATAATCCTTCCCCAAGTGTGAAGAGAGGTCTCCCTTCTGTTCCCGTGGGAGCAGGGCCGGAGGTCAGTGCTGGGTCAGGAGGTCAGCAGGGCAGAGACTGCACTTCCCAGAGAAACTAACTCGGCGCGGGAAGCCGACAGCCACGGAAGCCGGGAGGTCAGAGGGGCCCTACCTACCGGGCACAGATCCGGGACCGGCAGGTCGGGGCCTGGCCAGAGTGCACGCCCCCCTCTGGACAGCCCCCCAGGAGCCCTCGTGTTGGAAGCTGCTTCTCAGGTCTCTGATATCACCTGGAGTGCGGGGAGGAACCAGAGCAAGCACCTCCCGGACCACAGCCCTGACGTTCTGTTAAGAACGGAGCCGCTTTGGGCCAGCCGGGGCAGGTGGGGCACACTGTCCTTTCCTGGGGACCTCAGTGGGGAAGCGTCGAGTGGGGCGTTCCAAGAAGGCCTGTGCCCGTGCTCCCGCCTGCCGTCCCCTCATGCGTCCACTGCCCTCGAGACTGGGGGGGCACAGTCGTCACACCCAGGACGAGAGGAGACTGCTGGGTGCACAGCTGGGTCCTTCTACTGAGCCCCCACGGCACGGGGACGCCGCCGTCCCAACACGGCCCACTGCACAGGGACGCCGCCGTCCCAACACGGCCCACTGCACAGGGACGCCGCCGTCCCAACACGGCCCACGGCACGGGGACGCCGCCGTCCCAACACGGCCCACGGCACGGGGATGCCGCCGTCCCGACACAGCCCATGGCACGGGGACGCCGCCGTCCCAATTCAGCCATCCGTGTCATGCAGCTCAGGTACTGGCCCTGCTTGGCTCGGCCAGCCGCCCTCCCGCCAGCCCCAGCTCCTGGTTGCGCTTTAGCCCCTGGCTCCATCATAAGCGTCTCCGACTGAGCTCTGCCCACGGAGAGACCCAGGAATGCCACCCCGAGGTTTCCGCCCGTGCGAGACTGACTCTTTAACACACTTCTGCCCAGAACTGCCAGCCCTTCCGGCGGCAGAGAATCAAATGCCGCATAGTAAAGGCCCTCAGACCTCACTTCCCAGAGCCGCCCCGCGAGGGCGGCATCCATGGTCCCTGTGGTGGGGCCGTCCGGTGCACGAGAGATGAGGCCGCCACCCCACGCTCAGTGCCATCCTCCCCTCCTCCCTGGAGACGGGGCCTCCGAGGCACGCCCCCGTCCCGGCCCTGCCCTTGTGGCCACACGAGTGTGCTGTCTGTGGCCACCCCGCCCCCGCCCACAGCCAGTGCCCGCTTAAGCCATCGCCCCTGACACAGGCCACGCGTCCTGACGCGTCAGACCCTGCCTCCCACAGCTCCCTCTCCCTGCCTCCGGAACGGCCCAGCCCCCTGCTTTGCCTAAGCGCCTTTCCCTGGTTCACGACAGCCGCGTGTAGCCCCGGGCCCGCGTGGGGCGTCCCTGGGGTGCTCTTGCGAAAGCAGCGCGCACTCCCCGCCCCGCAGCGGCCCCAGCGAGCGAGAGACCGCGGCGCGGCCCGGGCACTGACCTGTCTTCCTGAGGGGGAAGTCGTCCTTGGCGTCGTACATGCCCAGGACCGGGTGGTTGTAGGAGGCCGACACCCCGCTCTGGGGCGGGGAGCTCTGGTCCAGGGAGCTGTGCTGCGTCTTCCTGGAGAAAAGGCAGAGACACGCGGTCAGCGCGCCCGCCTCGGCTGTGCACGCCTTGGCCGGCCCTGCCCCGCTCACCTGCCACCCCGCCCCCACTGGCTCCTCCCCGCGGCGAGCGGGAATCACAGAGCCACACCAGGCTGCGCAGCACCCCGGCGGCCGCCCACTCCCCCCACCGCCCGACTCGAAGACCTCCGGCCGCCCAGCCTGGCGGCCGTTCTCCAGGCAGCCCCTTCCTCTGCCCGGTCTGCTCGCCGGCCAGCAGGTCACCACTGGCCACACACACGGCCCGTCCCGGGGCGGAGGAACGCGCGCGGGCCGGGGTGTCGGGAACTGAAGGCATCCAGGCGGGATCGAACGGTCTGGGAGGGGACGCGGGTGACGCCTGGGGCACCCTCTGCCCCGACAGCGGCAGCCGTGGGGCATCCCGTCAGAAGACTCGCCTCTTCCCCAGCGCCAACCCCCCCCCATCCCTCCCTCCGCCAGGGCGTTGGCCTGTGACCCCCAGTTCCTCGAGCACAGCCAGGCTCTGCTCCACAGTGCACGACGGCCAAGCGCAGGGGGAGGGGGTCGCCAGGAGGACGGGTGGGAGGAGCTGGGGCTCGGGGACAAACCCCGGCCGGCCACCCAGTGACCCAGACGCCGCACCTGAAAGGCAGCCCTTGTCTTACTCACGAGGATGGAAAAGCAAATACTACCCTGTTTTCTTTCTAAACATCACCTTAATTGTAGAACAAAGCTTAACACAAACTCAGCCGTTTAAATTCTCAACAATCGGCCTTCCCCATGACATCAGATTTATACTGGTGATTTCAGATAAATGCAACTTCAGTTGGACGTGTCAGCACACCCAGCAGAGATGTAATGGGAACTACCTGTGACACTTAAAATTTCATAGCAGCCGCATAAAAATAAAGAGAAAGGAGTGAAATTTTTTTAGTATTCTATTTAACCCAATATTGCCAAAATATCATTTCGACAATCAATATGCACTTATTAATGCAATATCTCACACTCTCTTTTCCATGCTGAGTGTCTGAAATCCTGTGTTTTCTAACCGCAGCAGACCTCGGTCTGGATCAGCCCTATTTCAAGTGCTCAGTAGCCACACGTGGCTCTGGGCGGCCACTCTGTCCAGCGTGTCCTTACCGGGTGATTTTACAGCTGGAGTCTTCACGTGGGTAAACACGCATGGGGTCACCCGTGGGGTCACCAATCCAGTGAGGACGCAGCCCTTCCCATCTGCACACTCCCCTCTGCCACCACCTCCACTCCAGCCCCGACCTGCTGTCTCTCCCCGAGGGCGAGTTTTGCTTTCTCTGACCGCACACGGGTGCAGTCACTCGGGTGCTCTCTGTGTCTGGCCGCTTTGTCTAGAAAGTGCCTGAGATCAACCCAAGTTGCTGCAGGTATCAGCAGCCCGCCCTGCATTCTTGCAAGTAGCATTCCCGGCCCTGGGGGTACGCGGTCTGTACCCTTCACCTGCTGATGGGCCCCTGGACTGTTTCCACCCTCTGGCGTCCACAATCGTAAGAGTGCAAGTCTGTCTGGTAAACACGATTCCGTCTGTCTGGTAAACACGATTCCGTCTGTCTGGCTATATATCCAGGGGGAGCACTGCTGGGTCGTGAGGCAGGTGGACAGTCACCTTTATAAAAAATGGCCAAACTGATTCCCACAGTGGCTGTGCTACTTAAGTTCCCACAGGCAACACGTGGGAAGTCCGGATCATGCCATTCACACCCTCCCCCACACCTGGCCTGTCGGACTCTGGCCACCAGCAGGTGTGGGTGGCTGCTCATGGTGGTTTTGATTTGCATGCCCCAATGACTAGTGGTGCTCACCCTCTTTCCTGTGCTCACGGGCCACCTGCATGCCTCATTTTGTGAGGGACTTGCTCAAGTCTTTTGCACGTGTTTTTTCCAGTGTGCTTCTTGTCTTTTTATTACTGAGCTGCAGGAGTGCTCTATGTGTTTTGGACACAAGTGGTTTATCAGATATGCACGTCGCGACTACAGCCGACCCTTGAACAGCAGGGCTTTGAACTGCGAGGGTCCGCTTACACACAGCTCGTCTGTGAGCAGACTGGAGTATGCGCAGGTTTTAGTACGCACAGGGGTCCTGGAACCAGCCCCTGAGGATGCCGGGGGGTCACTGGGATTCCCTACATCCCTCTGGTCTGTGGCTGCCTTTCCGTTTTCTTGGTGGAGCCATTCAAAGAGCAGAAATGTCTCAGTTTGGTGAATTCTAACGTTTCCAGTTCTGGGTTTACAGTTGAGGATTTGGGTGACCTAAGAAATCTTTGCCTGTCCCTCTCTCCCAAGGTTGTGAAAACTTTCTTTGTTTTCTTCTAGAAGTTTTATGGGGGTTCAAGCTTTTATACTTATGCCTATGACATCTAAGCAAATCACCCGGTGTGGCCTGGGTGAAGCTGGGATCAGGTTCAGATATTTCCCCGTGAAGACTTGGTTGTCTGACAACGCTTTTGCCATCCTGTAGCAAGTGAACTTGAGTGTTCACTCCACGATGCTTGGTTTAGGGTCCTCAGATATCAAGACAACAAAGCTGCTACGCTCAGTGAAAACAAACCCGTCCCCCAGTCGACTTCCCTGAGATCAAGCTCCTTGTCCCTGCAGCCTGCATGCCCTAAAACCCTCCAAGAAGAGGGCGGCCCCTGGCCATTAAGCTGGGGTGAGTGGCCCTGCCCCAGGCCAGACCCCTTCCGCCAGTGTCCTGTTCACCAGGGATCTGAAGGAAAGGTGAGTCCTTCCCTCCTCCCTCAGGCACTTCCTTGTCTACCTAGTCCCTGCAACCTCCCCCGCCCCCATTTCCTACCTCTCAGCAAGTTCCTTAATCCCTGATGCTGCCTGAGCCCACCCCTCTCCCATGGCCTCTTGACTGGGGGGGACACCTCTCCCCAGCCCTCGTGCCCCACCCTCCTTTCCCTTCCCGAGGGGCTGGCCCAGCTGCCCCAGGCTGTGACCCTGCTTCCCGCCACCCCCAGGCCTGCCTCCCCCAGAGCCATTCCTTCTCTGCAGGCTCCTCTTGCTGCCCCCTAAGAGCCCCCTGCCATGGGCCCACACCCAGAGGGGAGGAGGACCCTCCCCTTCCAGGCCTGCAGCCTCTCCTCCCCAGCTTCTCCTCCCGCCCTTCCCGCTTGAGTCCGGGGCCACCACCGAATTGCATCCACACTCTGTCCCCTGCCTGGCAGCCCCCACCCCGCCCTGCCCAGAGGGACAAGGGAGCTTTCCCACAGCTCCAGGGGCGGACAGTCCCTCGGGGAGACCACAGACCCGCGCCCCCAGCAGGGCCTGAAGCATGGCTGGCCTCCAGCACTTCTCACAACCCTCCCACGCTCGGGCCGTGCTGCCTCGCTGCTCTCTGTGCGGTTTTGTCGCAAACGCCAGCAGCCAGTTCCGGCGAGAGCCCAGTTGTAGTGCGCCTCCGACACCTAGCAGCCACCAAGAGCCCGGGGCGGGCAGACGGCCCGTGCGTGCCCGAGTCCTGCTGCACTGGCTGATGCATCTAGTGACATAAACGGCACCACTTCGATGGGTTTGGTGGTGTTTACTTGTTACCATAGTTGGCCGTTTTCAGGCTTGGAAATAGCTAAATTTTTTCCCGATGAAATTACCGGCTGCATTTTGATTTATGAAAACTACCCCCGGGTTTCTCCTAGACACGAAATGACCCTGAAAGCAGCAGAAAACTGCATTTCAAAGCAAACACCTGTTACCCTTGACAGTCATTAAAAGCCAGGTAACTCAGCCACTCCGCTCCAGCCGGGCCGTTACCCAGGCCCCGGAAGACGTTCCCTGAGCCGGTACGTGGCTTCCTCCAGTTCTTAGCGCAAATGAGGCTCTTCTGTGGTCTCTGTTAGGTATGCAGGCTCTGGAAGGGGCCTTAGTATAAAATCATAAAAATGCCACAGGTGCTCACTGACTTGCCTAAGAATCGATGAAGCATTAGGTAGAAATGCTGTAGATTCACCCAGATAATTTAGACCAGAGTTGCAGTTTAAGTGGCTCTTGCTGTGGCTGAAAAATGGCACGAAAAGCTAAGAACCATGACAGGCACCAGCCCTAGGAACACCCTCATTTCCTCCGAAGATGGGCCTGTCCCCGTGTGGGTGGCCACTGCGCCGGGGGCCCACAGACCTCACCGGGCCCCCTGCCTTAGACAGCAAAGAGCTGGGTCCCCTCAAATCCTCCGCCACACCACATGGTCGCCACGTCACGCGGTCGGGATGTCCCGGCACCCCCACTTACCCGTACCAGTAGCGGGGGTCGCTGGAGATGCAGGGGTTCAGGCTCCGGTGGGCCAGAGCCTTCTTTTTATTGAGGACAAACTCTTGCAGCTTCATCTTCACTTCTGTGCTGGCCACGGCGCCTGCGAAGGAGAGAGCACAGCGGTGGGTGACATGTGGCCCGGGGCAGCAGGGACGGGGGACACAGCCTCAAAGGGGAGACAGGGACCGAGGGATGGAGGTCGCGATTCTGCAAACGTTCCTCGACATCAGGGAGATAACATCAGGAGGGTTTTAACAGGGGGTCGTCTTCCTGTCTAGATTTCTACGTAATTGCATTCTGTGCGAAATGCAGGTTCAGTGATCAGAAAGACTTATTAATTAACGCAAAGCCCACTTTTGAAGGCAGTTCTAATATTCTCACATGAGGAACGCTCTGCGTTAGGAGCAAGCAGGTGGGGTGCCCGCTCTTACAAAGCACCTAGGAGAGGCTCGTGCAAAAGAGAGCAGCACACGCACGTGGCCTGCAGTGACAGGGACAGAGCCCCTCACGGTGGCCACCTGCAGCCACCTGCGCAGCCCACGGCAGGCTTGCTCCAGCAGCATCAAGGGGCGCTCCTGTCCCCGCCAGCCCAGCGGTGGCCTCCTCGGGCAAAGGGGGTTTCACCAGGTCGTACCGAAGCCGAGAGTCTTTGCTTTGTGGTTCTGTGTGCTGGTGGCGACTGTTTTCCAGCCCCGTTTGAGAAACAGAAACAAAGACACGAACCCCCTGCCCGGGAGCAGCACCTGAGCGCAGCCCCGCCCGCATTTCCACCGCGGCCTCGGATCTGGATCTACAGCTGGACCGCGCGGCCCTTTCACGTCCACCCGCACTCAGGAAAACCTAAATTATCTTCCCTGGAGTTGCGTAGCGTCCAGACAGAATTTTTAGCAGTCCAAGACACACTTCCCGAGGCGAGTGAAGCGTGGTTTACGAAACCATTGCCTGACCGGGCGGCGTTTCTTGTTGTTAGACACCAGGCAGCAACGAGCATCTACGAACAGATCCCACTGCCCGAGTTTAGCATAACCTGCTTAGGAGAGATCAGAAAAACCACCACATCTGACAAACTTAACATCATACAACCCTGGAAACATCTTGCTAAGGTGCTTCCCAAACGTCGCTCCACACCGACCGCCTGGCACCGTCCACGCACTGCCCCAGAGGCGCGGGCCTGCTGCGTCCACGCGGGTCCCCGCTGGCCTGGACGGGCTGCGGGCGGCACACCGGCAACCTGAGGACCCCCGGCAGGCACTCTCGGTTCTCTCGTGATGTGCTTGACGTCCCTGGCTCATCTGCCCTGGGGAGACCCCCTGTGACGTGGGTGTTGGTGGTGGCCGCACTGTGGGTCTGTGTGTTTTGCGGTTTCACCCGTGGGAGCCGCGTGGCTCCCTCACAATGACGAACTTCCGAGACCCTCCCAGTGCACGCCGGCCACCGGAGCTATAAACACGTGTCCTCACTCCCGCGCTGTCCACGGCGGACAGGGAGCTGGTCAGGTGAGTCTCAGCCGAGGCTGCTTCAGCAGCCAGGTGTCACCGGGGCCCCAGAGCGTGGCTCTTGGCGGTCTGCATGTGCGCAGTCACCCCGTGTCTTGTTTCCCTTTAAAACCGGGATGTGGCAGCATCCAAATTGCTTATTTTTATGAAGTTATTCCAGTATTTCCTTTGCGGTTTTCCCCGTTTCCTTGAAGCTTTGCAATTCATTGAAGAAACCCTTCATTGGTTTCATCATTTTTATTTTATCCCTGTTGTTGTGGAGGCGAGTTTCCGTTGGTTTAGTTATTTGCTGATATCATTTTTTCATGATTCACTCTGATGTGCCTAGAATGGAGGCTAGCGTGTGAGGTTCTGTGGACACTTGGAAACCGCTCACCAGCTGCTACCACCACTGGAGAAATTTACCTTTTCCTTCCACCCTGTCACGCACCAAATGCACCTGTTGGCGCTCACAGACGGGGCTTTGCTCAGTGGCACACGCTTCTGCGCACCGCACAGCGCCGTCCTGCCACGGTCACGGCAAACTCCCGGAAACGGCCCGCCGGGGCTGCGGGAGAGCCAGACAGACAGCGGGATGCACAGGGAAGGTGGCCGCACGGACGCCGGCGCGGGTCCCAGAGGGTCCGTCATGGCGCGCCGGGCCCGCCCTCGGGGCTCCCGGGGTCTTGGGGAACCACCTCCCTGCTCCACCAGGGAAGCTCTCGTGCGGCCTGAGCTCCTGCTGCCAAGGACACTCTGCGTCACGTAGGCTGTGACCGCTCCTGGGCGTGTGGGGACATGGGACGGGCCCTTGGACCAGGCGACAGGCAAGGGCGGCCGAGCCTGCAACCTCACAGCTCCACTTGCAGGTGCCCCGGCTCAGCTGCACCTGACACCCCCTGCCAGCACTTCCGGTCCGTCTGTCCGTCCGAGGCGCGTCTGCCCGGAGACCACGCGTGAGGGAGATGCTCGGTCCGCTTCCGGCCTTCCCAGACTCATGGCCGCCGGCGCTCCCGCACGACCCCTGGCAATGAGCTGCCGGCTTTGGAGAGAGACCCCAGACATTCACCCGCCACAGGGCTGGCCTTACAAAAGCGCAAAGTCGTCACCGTTACAACAGTAACCGGGGGAACGCCGGGCGTCGGGGAGACAGGTGAGCAGGGGACACAGTGATTCAACAGGCAGAAGGCAAACCTGCCCGGAAGGGCACGAAATTCGCTTCACTCCACCACCGAAAGCAGAGAGGGGAGCAGCTTTGGTTTCTACGCTAATGACGGTGTTTCTTTTTTAACCGCCATCCCCCAGCGCTGCCGACGGGGCGGGGCAGTGGTCACAGCACAGACGTGACGACGGTGGCGACCCGGGTGTAGAGGGCGGGACCCCAGGGCCCCCCCACTCAAGTGCTCTCCAGGCGTGGAGGAGCAGAGAAGGACGGGCAGAGAAGCTCTCGGGGTGCAGGCTGGGGACGCCCCCCACGATTTCCCAGCACACCAAACCTGGGTTCTAGTGAGGCCCCCCCTCCTGAAAAGGAAGGTTCCGGAAACACGACAGCCTGGACGTGGACCTGCTGTCCCCTTGCGGGCGAGCGCGGGCCCTCCCAGGACAGAGCCAACAGCACACCCCGTGCTCGGGGAGTCCCCGTGAACCCCGTCTTCTCCCCGCCCTGGCGACACCGCACTGCCAAACGGTGACACGGCCCCCTCCCCATGGCCACCGCCAGACGGGCACCTGCGCTGGCCCCTCCGCGCAGGGGAGGTGGCCTGGCCGGAGCTCCGGGGCCTCTGCAGGGCCTGGCCAGCGTGAACAGGAACGTGGCCGCAGCTGCCTGCTTTAAACACAGAGGAGCCCTCCTCCATCCTTGGACTTCACCAGGACTCGACATTTAAGAGGCTGAGTCTGACCCCGGCTCCTCTCCTTCTGGTCATCTATTTACCCATCCCCGCCCCCCACTTCTGGCTATATACGCATCGGTCGACTGATTTCCCCACTCAAGTGAAGGTTCTAGAATCAAAGAACACTTTCAATAAATAGATAGCAGACTTCTCTGAATGTTACTTTGGTTTATCACTTAACTCACACTGTCCTGTGTCCACCCGAGAGCCGTGCGTGCAGAGAGCCCCGGGTGATGCGGAGGGAGGGTGAGCAAATAGAAAGGTTCTCACTCCGGGGGCAGGGAAGCCGCGCGCAACAAGCTGCACAGGAAGAAAGTTGCGGGCAAGTGCGTGCGGGTGCAGGGACAGCATGTTCGGAGGGGGCCAGGGCTGCTTCCTCCCCACGTGGGCACAGCCACGGCCCCGCCACGGCCCCAGCAGGCTGAGGAGCGCCGTGGGCCCCTGGAACACGCCCGCTTGTGCCCGTCCGCGCCGCGTGGGGCAGACGCTGGCCTCGCCCTGGGTCTTTCCCTCTGAGTTCACGGGAACACACAGCGCATCTTGGATTCCCGAATGTCGCTGACCTAAGCGAACACCCGACTGCTCGCAGACAGCGTGTTCGTGCTCAGCGTGAGGGCAACGGCCACGACTTCTAGGCGTTCGCTCTTCTTTCAAAAATTAATAGCATTATTTGGTGTCGATAAATGAAAGTGAAGAATTACTTAAAAGCGCTGTAGACGTTTTTAAGTGTAACAGGACACTTTTGAAGGAACATTTAAGAGTGCTGTAAAAGTTTTTAAGCGCAAGCAGAACTTTTTATTAAATGTTCAATAAGAAAGTCACTTTAAGAATCCAGGAAACTGAACAGCAGATGTTTTGCACTACGTTTTCAAACGCTCGCAAACTGGAGATGCCTCGAGTCATTTGCATTTGCCCCCACAAACGCTCTTTAAGCGGCCTAACAAGAGCCCCTTCACGGGGGAGGCGCGGCCGGGCCCGCTTACATAAGAGCCCCGAGCGGCGTCTGCCCCGCGGCCGGCCCGCGCTCGCCGCAAGACCACACTCCGAGGGCCGAAGGCCTCGCCGGCATGCCAAGGCCCCGACTGTACACAGCTTATTATTAAGCATAAAGCCTGACCACCCAAATCCACAGAGCGAAAACCACCAGGGCTGCAGAGGAGCAGAGAACATTCCGGCGCTCCAGTTAAGGGTAGACGATGCTTAGCTACATGTAGGGCAGGGATTGTTTTCTGAAGTCAGATCTTTTCATATTCTGCGAGCCTTGAGATGATATTTTCCTTGGAAGGGTGAGCCGGTAAACTGCGAGGAAGCGATTTAGACTGAGCTGCTTTTCAGCAACCTGGAGAACTGCTATTTGCCGGCTAGCCGTGGCACCAGTCCACCAGCTGATACTTAAAATTTAAGCTCCGATTCCTTGATAAACAACTATTTTCCCTACTCCAGAGAAAAGTAAGTAAGCAGGACACACGCAGAGTACAAGGGAACCACAGCAGTGGGGGAGGGACCCGGGCCGGAGCCCCTGTGTGGGCCCCGCATTGGCACCCGGCCAGGGACTCCAGTCCCCTGCAAGTGCCGAGTGTCACGGCTCCAGCGGGGCAGTGGGGACCTGGCTGGAGCCCTTTTGGGGACTCCCGTGAGCACCAGGTGCTCTTGCCTAGGGAGCCACTGTCTCCTGTAGAAGGCAGCCCCCAGAGCAGGCCACACCCGGCGGGTGAGGGCCTTCTGAGATAATC